AAAACACTGACTGCATTTGAGGACCCCTGCTAGGGTCTGCAGGTGATCTTTCCTTTGATCCTCATAGAAAGCTTTGAGATACTACCAATTTCTTCGTTCTCCAAATGACACAACTGAGGCTTAGAGAGAAGAAATGATTGCCATAGAATTTGTAATCAGTGGAGTTGTAGCTATATGGTATCTGCTTCTCTCCCTTACCTTCTGAACACACTCTACACACACACACACACACACACACACACACAGAGACAGAGACAGAGAGACAGAGACAGAGAGAGACAGAGACTCACACACACACCACAAATTGCTAAAGGGTCTTATTAATAAAAAACTCAGAGCCAGATATTGGGGTGAAAGCTGAAAGATCAGAGAAACAAAACAAGCCAGCCACGTTCTTACCTCTAAGAAATCCTTGACCTCAAAAGAGAGACTTCCTGTTTACTCACGCCTTATATACCTTTCTGTGCCCTGCCATCTTCCTTCCTTCCTAGTGCTGGGACTAAAGGCATGTGCCACCAAGCCTGGCTATGTTTCCAGTGTGGTTTTGAACTCACAGAGATTCAGATGGATCTCTGCCTCCCAAATGCTAGGATTAAAGGCATGTGCTACCAGTGCCTGACTTCTATGTTTAATATAGTGGCTGGCTTGTCCTCTGATCCCCAGGCAAGCTTTATTGGGGTACACAGTATATCAACACACACACACACACACACACACACACACACACACACACACATACATACACACAAAAGCACCCTCATTCATACCCCATATGCTCCCAAAGCTAGAACTTTCTGGCACTGTTGCAGACCTGTAGTACAGAGCCCCTCCCACAGCCTCTGAGATGATTCTGGCCTTCCTCTCCTCGATATCAATACTATCCTTACTTCTGGTACATCCCCAGTTTTAGAGATTCTTGTCAGCTTACTGGGGCCCTCTCTAGCTCTTGCCCAGTTCTCAGTTCCTGTTCCAGATTCAGGAACAGTCCTAACCTCCACCCATTTTCCTTCCTCCCAGGTCGCTCTCCTTGAACTTCCTCCATTGCAGACAAGCCCGGGCTTCCACCTCCTTCCTCCATATCTTCTGGAATACGGCCCCATAGGATTTGCACCATAGACCTATGTAGCCAACAGATTAGCACCTAGAACCCTGCACCAAGAACTCCGTAAAATAATCTACAGGCACCGAGGAGAGTGTCACTGTGAGCTCAACAACATGGACTTCAGTGTTGGCAGGGTGACAGGGACAAGGGAGGGGGACAGGGGACCCAAGGGAGCAGGGAAAAGAGGAATTGTTAAGGCCAAAAGCCATAGGGCTTTGCTAAAGATTCTAATTTGGAAGGCCAGCGAGAGAACAGGTGCATGGATTCCTGGGGAGTGGCTGTTGAGAGAGGTGAGAAGAAAGAAGGGGAGGGGAGGGGAGGGGAGGGGAGGGGAGGGGAGAGAGAAAGTGATGGAGGGAAGGAGCAGGGAGATTTTAGACAAGGTCCATGAAGAACCTTTTTGTGTGCTGAACTCTGTGCTGTCTGAAAACCCAAATCTACCCCATCCAGCTGCATTACCAGACCAGGAACCAGACTCCACAAAAACCTGTGGCACTAAAATCATAGCTGCATCTTGACAGCATCTGTGTGACGATAACCCTACACCCCAAAGGTGGCCAGAGTCCCCTTCTGATCGCCAAGGGCAAGGCAGGCCTATGGGCCCTACCCCACAGGCAGCTGCACGGGAGGGTGGTCAACAATGCCAGCCAGAGCTGTGAGGAAGCCAGGAGGAGAGGAGGGGGGGAAGGAAGGAAGCAGGGGACACGGGTGACCTTGGAGAGAGGCTTCAGCCGCAGAGGACTGGTGGGAAGCAGGGGTGTGGGCCCAGGAGAGAGAGAGGCAGGCACGTGATCAAGCAGAAGCTGGTAGAGGTGGTCAGAGGGTACCAGTGACTGGGGTTTTGTTCCACTCAGATGACACTTACTGGATGCCCATTATACACTGGGCTCTGTGCCAGGCAGTGGGACCAGGAATGAATCAAATCCCGGCACCTCGTAGGGAGGGGGTGGGAGAGACGGACGAGGCAGGTAAGCGAGAAATGCATGCTTGTCCTGGGAAAGAAGGGAGGCACTAAAGATGTCAGCGCAGGCCTGGAGGCTGGAGCCCAGGGTGCCTGGACTCCTCAAGTCCGAAAGGAGACAGCCCCCTTGCCTGTCAGATTCAGCCTCCTTGGTCTTCACCAAAACTTCTGCTTCCGAGACCATAGAGTTTTCTAGAGAGTGTGGCCAGCACTGCAACCGGGCTCACTTCCTCCTCCTTGGGAGAGTTTTGATAGATGTGGTCTATATAATATTTTCTCCCTAACACACACACACACACACACACACACACACACACACACACACACACGCACGCGCACGCGCACGCGCACGCGCACGCACATGCACAGCACATGCACATATGCATGCACACATAGACACGAAGCTGAAGTGTAGCAAGCCCAGAAACCCAGAGCCATCTCTGCCAAGGTCACACAGGGCAAACCCCAGTAAAGGTCTCTGGGCAGCTAGGACAGGCGGTGGGGGAGGAAGGGAGCCCTCCCAGATGGATCTGCCTAGGCCTGGGCCTCCAGAGCCTCTGCCTCTGGCTGCTCTTAGAAGGAAGAAAAGCTCCTCACCTTCCCTGCCTTTCTCCAAACCAATCCCGACATCCCCTAAACCCTAGTCAGCCCCAATAAAAGGGTGGTGCTGTTTACCAACCCCGGCATCTAATTAAAATTGGCTGCCTCTTCTTCTGGTTGGTTTTTTTGTTCCGACTATTTTTAAGCCAGGGCTGCTAGATGAGTGGAGCCACTAGTAAGCTGTCAAATCAAATTTTCAAAAGCAAATTGCTTTTATAATTAATTTAATTATTATTACGGCTCCCAGTTTTGTGTTGCCTTAATGAACACAATCAGGTTTCACCCTCTGCTTCCCTCCCCCACCACGTACAAGTACCCCCTCATTCCCACAGTCCCACCCCACACCTCTCCCACCCAAGACAGAAGCATGGAGAGGAAGAAGGAAGGAGACAGTGTTTAGTACCCCCCCCCCCCGCCCCCGTGCTCCCCCCACCTCCAGTAGCCACCTCCTCTGGCATGCCCCAGCCTCACGTGGAGTAATTAAGGCTTCCTCTCAGTGGGGGAATAAATGGTACATGTATTAATTACCCCCAGCCTACCCAGGCATCCTCACACCCCCGCCCAAGTCTGTGAGTCTGTGTGGGTTGGGGAGGGGCAGTCAAGAGAGAGACTGTGACAGCGGTCTGTCACCCAGGGTCTGGCATTCACTGGGGAGCTGTCAGTTACTAAGGAAACTAGGAGAGAGAGAGGAAGGGAGAGAGGCTGTTAGATCCAATTTGGGGTGACAAGCGTGAGGAGTGAAGATTTTGGCCCCTCCACGTCTGAGCACGAGTGGGAGTTTTGTGGACTGGGCAGTGGACAGGCACAGAAGAGTCCGTCCTGAGGAGGCCATCCCTCCTCAGGAGCCCAGGCAAGACAGGGGGCTGGGAGGACGCCGCAGCTCAAGACCCCCCCACACCTCAGAGCCGGTGCGTTCAGGCCTGTGTGCACAGGCGCATGGAGGTTCACCCCGCAGTTCACCCCATGGCTGGGGGTGCCACCTAACCCCTTTCTGTTGGCCGGATGTCCTCACTCCAGTGTCCTTTTGTCCTTCTTCTTCAGTTTGTATCACCTCATCTCTACCTTTTCCTTTCCTTTCTCTTTGTCATCATTTTTTATTTATTCTTCTATTTCCTTTTCTTTTTCCTTTCCTTTTCTCCTTCTGTCTCCCCTCAGATGTCTCCCCAACACCGTCACACACAAGGGCTTCCCCAGACCTCTCCCTCATGTCTTCCATCAGGGTATGGAAAAACGTATTTACATAGGAGTCTCACCCACCTTGCCCCTCCCCCACCCAGCCCCCAACCCCCCACCGCCACCCCCTCTGCCTTCCTCTCTTTCCCCTCCCCACTTTCTCTCTTCTGTTTTTCTACTCTCCATCCCAACCCTTCTTTCTCTGCCTCTCTGCTCCCCTTCCTCTGCATCTGCTGTAGTTCAGACCCCATAGAAGCACCCCGCCCTAATGGGACCCCCCCAACCAGGCTGGTGCAACTCTCCTAATCTCACGGGAAGGGTGCCCATGGGTGAGCAAATGAACCATCAGGGGGAGGGGTGAGACAGGACAGGGGTAGGGCTGGGATTCAGTCCAGGCGGGATGGGGGCGGGGGCGGGGGTGGGGGTGGATGACAGAGCTAGGCCTTCTGGGCCTCTTGACTTTTGAGAAGAGCAAAGTGTTGCAGGAAGTAGCATGAGTCACGGGCTCCCGGGCGGTGCAGGCTGGGCTGGCAATGGGGCAGGGAACTCTGAATACTGGCTCAGGGACGGAGGCCTCTGGAACCGCTGGAGACCAAGAGGCCAGGGTGGTGTGCCTCCCCCGCCCCTAAGGACCCGATGCCCCCCACCTTCGCTTCCCAGTGAACCAGGCCAGAACTCACTGGTCTTGTCTCTGCCTATGGTCCTCTCTCCTTGGCACTCCATTGCCCAGGGCTTGGGTCTCTTCTTGATGCAGAGAGGATCCTAGGCTCAAGTTTGACCAGTGTCTTATTTTCAGGGGTCCCTCAGAGAGATCCCGGGGTGCTGGAGAAAGGACGCTGTCTTCCATGCTCCTGTGGTAGATAAGGTGGCTGGTGCTCAGGTTGTCTGCTGTAGGTGGACATCTCCTGGATGTCTGGGCAGTAAGTAGGGATGAAGGAACCACCGGAATAAACAGGCGTACACCATGCCCCAAGCCAGAGCCAGCAGCTAGGAGCTACCTTTCACTACAGAACCAGAGTGCAAAGTCACCAAAGATTGCCGATTCCACTCTGGTCAAGTCAGCCCTCCTTACTCCAGGGGGCGCTCTGTTCAAACACCTGCCGTCAGCCTCTAGGCACTCTGTGAAAAAGGTCCCCTAGAAATCGGAACCCAGCAGGAGTCCAATGACAGTTTGAGAGGCCTGAGCCCTGCCTCTGAGGCCACACACGTGCTGAGCTGAACAATCCTGGGACCGCAGGCTGATTTGGCACCCTCAGACCCCTCTGGCCATTGCCAG